TCAGGGCCAAGAGCAAACAGAGACTGGAAGGGCAGCCATGTGTGTCCCATGTTCAGTTAATCCGGCTCCCAGACATACCCAGGGGGTCTAGATGACTCTGACTGCTATCAGGCTGGCAGTAAGACAGTCATCCAGCACCCCCTCATGGGTCGGCTCTGCCTGCTGTCACAAAGCTCTGTAGACTGGGAAGTTGAAGCCACAGAGGTGACTTCCCACAGTTCTAGAGTCTGGAAGGCCAAGGCCAAAGTGTTAGCTTGTCACTTCCACAGTGGTGCCTGACTCTGGGCTGTGAAAAGTCCTGGGAAGGGAGTCTGTTGGCTAGGAGAGGCGGTCAGTCTGGAGGAGGGACTGATGTGACGGTACCTGGGTCCTCAGTCTCCCTCTCCCTGTGGTGCTTCATGTTCTTCCCTTTAAGAGATGAGATCCTGTTGGGGACTGACTTGGACCCTCACAAATTCACATGCTCAAGTCCTACCCCCAGCACACCAGAATGTGACTGGATTAAGGAGACAGAGGTGATTAGGTAAAAACCGAGGTCATTATGGTGGGTGAGCTCTACTCTAGTCTGATGGGTGTCTGGAAAGAGACCAGGGAGTGGGGAAAGACAACCCGGGAAAGTGCTAGCGACACAAGCATGAGGGGGAGTTTGATTACCCAGAATGCATGCAGAAAAGCCAAATGCAGTGGCATGTGCTTCTAATCTCGGCCCTGGGGAGGTGGACAAATGCAGAACTCTAGGGCCCACTGGCCATCTGACCTAGTCAAATTGGTGAGCCCCAGGCCAGCAAGAGACCGTCTCAAAAAATAACATGGGTAGCTCCTAAGGAATGACACCAGAGGTTGACCACTGGCCTCCACATGTGCACACACAGATGCTTGTAAGAGAACAGAACAGAGACAAGCAGAGAGGACAACCATTGCATACACCAGGAAGCAGATGCCACCTGCTATCGGCAGAAACCAGCCCTACCATTTGTTGACCTCATCTGTCTCTGTGGCCCCGTCAGTGGGACTTTGGTAGAGCAGTCTTACAGACCAGTTCATCAGTCCTGGAATTGAGGCTGGCCTGAGGGCTTGCTTGGACCAAGAGAATGCAGTGGACTTGGGCAGCTTCTGAGCATTGGCCTCAAAACTTCTGCTTTGGTCCTTAGTCTTTCTCAAGATGCCCTGTGAATTCTCCAGATTAAACTGCTGGGGATAAGATATAAGGGGAGGGAGGCCCAGTGGCTAGCCTGGGCTAGCTTCCAAGTGGGCAGTGAGGTCATTTCCTCAGTGAGGCCAGCAACAGGCTTTCAACAGTCCATGGTTAATGCCAGAATTATGAACCCACAGAGTTATGAAGGCTATTATCTGAAGTCACACTTTGGGAGGGGACATATCTTAGTCACTGTTCCATCACTGTGAGGAGACACCATGACCAAGGTGGCTTATAAAAGGAAGCATTTAATTGGGGCTTGCTCAGATTCAGAGGGTGAGTCCATGATCATCATGGTGGGGAGCACAGGGGCAGACAGGCAGACATGGTGCTGGAGCAGTAGCTGAGAGCTCACATATGGTCTCTAAAGTTGCAGGTGTGTGTGTGTGTGTGTGTGTGTGTGTGTGTGTGTGTGTGTGTGTCTGGGCCTGACATGGACTTTTGAAACCTGAAAGCAAGCCCTCCCCACCCCAGCCCCAGTGACACACCTCCTTCAACAAGGCCACATCTCCCAATCCTTCCTAAACAGTTCCACTAGCTGGGGACTAAACATTCAAGTATATGATGAGCCCACAGGGCCATTCTCATCCAAACTACCACAGGGGTTGATAGGTAACCAGGCAACAAGCTTCAGTTGAAAGGACACACACAGAACCCACACACTGTGCTCAAGGCTAAAGGATGGTGCTTAGGCACTTGCTTTGCGAGAGGAGTGGGCAGGTACCTGGGAGAGCTCGTCTGTGTGGATCATAACCCCAGCAAGCACAACATATCAACAAAACATGACATGGACTGTGAATACGACATATTTAGAATGTAAGGAAAGGGGCTGAGAATACAGGGGTAGGAGATGCCAACCTGCAGATTTAAGTAAGTCTGCCCGTCAAGGATACAGAACTGGGCTGGAGAGACGGCCCTGTGGGTAAAGTGCTTACAAGACAGTGTGAGGTCCTGGGTTCAGACCCATGACAAATCCGGGTGCAGGCGCCACACCTGTGACTAACGGGGGGGGGGGGCATCACCATTAGGGGGCGATGGAGGCAGGAGGACCCCTGTAGCTTGCTGGCCAGTCAGTCTAGCTGATTGATGAGCTGTAGAGGAATATATACACCTGACGTTGATCCCTGACTTCTCCGTGTTCATTCAGGGACATATGCACAGCTCCCTTCACATGTGAATACACAGGCATGCACATGCAACACACACACACACACACACACACACACACACACACACACACACACACGGATGGAAAATACAGTTTGCAATTTTAAATAAAGTTTGCCCATTAAAGTAGGGGGGACTGAGTTAGCTATATAGCTGTCTGGGGCAACAGCATTTTGGGTAGAGGGAATAACCAGTAACCAGTTACCTGACATACAAACCTACAATGACTTACTTAGTTGTTATATATTAAAAGTCTCTTCATGTGCCAGTAGTCTGTGATTTTGTTTTGTTTTATGACAAGGTCTTGCTTTGTAGTCCAGGCTGGCAGATCCCCCTGCCTGTCTCCCAAATGCTGGGACTACAGGTATGCACGACCACACCTGGATCTCTCTGTTTTAAGAAGAGCTTTGCAGCCAGCTAAAGACATGGCATTCCTTGAGGTGGTCACTGTTCACAGATGTCCCAGCCCAGATGTGAAGCCACAGCTCTTGAGTGGAGTTCTAACTCTCCCTGGGGACATCTGAGCAAGCACCTGCTCCCACCAACCAGACTGGAGCCGTGCTTCCACACACCTTAAACCTGGCAAACCGATGACTTTGGTGGGCTTAGAGGATGAGTGAGGGGTGGCAAGCAGGAGCATGGACCTCCCCAAGCAGCTGCATCAGTGAAGACTCACTCCCCTATGGATGGAGTCCTCCCTCCGGTTGTCTGTCTGCGCTCTAGGTAGTAAGTGCCTTCTGAGACCGTGTGCAGCTGCACAGAATCAGTCAGCTGTGGGCAGGTGTGGGGGAGCATAGGAGTGGGGAGCACAGGAGGGGTGGGGAGCACAGGAGGAGTGGGGAGCACAGGAGGGGTGGGGAGCACAGAGTGGGGGGCACAGGAGTGGGGGGCACAGGAGGGGTGGCTGTGATCTCAGGTGAGGTCTGGTGACCTTTCTCACCCTACCCCCTTTCCTTGAGGCCTGATCTTGAGGGATCGGGGTCTCTGGTGAAGACGGCTGCTGTGCTCAGAGGGTAGCATCTACAGCAGTGCTTTACACACCTTCACACACCAACTGTGGGGGCTGAAGGCTCAGAGCATTTCTGGGACAAGGTGACATTGTCATTGACAGCCTGTTGAGGAAAGATGCTAATTTTCATTGAGGTCTAGGCCTTCCATAGTAACTTAATTAGGCCATGCAGTAAAACTGTCACTAACCGTCAGGAGGACCCCTGAGTCACCAGGGAATGACAAAGCTTGGCAAGCAACCAGCCTCTGGGGGAGGAAAAGGGTGACTTCATTGCTTCCTCCCACAACTGTCCTCAAGGGTCACCAAAGACCCCTGGATTGGGTGGCCTGTTCCCCACCTGTTGGCAATGGCAGAACATGAATGACTTACATGTGTGTGTGTGTGCACAGACTGCATACATGCAAACACATCTATCACAGACTTTTAGTTCTGTTTTGTTTAAGACAGGGTTTCTCTGTGTAGCCCTGGCTGTCCTGGAACTTGCTCTGTAGACCAGGCTGGCCTCGAACTCAGAGATCTGCCTGCCTCTACCTCCTGAGTACTGGGATGGGGGCTGCCATGCCTGACCCCAGCATAAAAAGATGTACAGACCTTGAACTTCCATCATCCAAGTGTTGGCATTGTTGTATCACCACATCTGGTTTATGCTAAAGATTGAACTCAGGACTTCACACAAGCACGTTGACTGAGCTGCATCCCCAGTCTACGGCACAGCATCTTAGGAAAGAAAGTCTATCCCCAGACCACCACTTTCAGCTTCGTAATATGGTCCGTACCAATCCCACGTGGCACGTCTTGAGCTGACCGTCCTCTATTGCCATTTCCTGTAGTGACTCTCTATCATCTACTCACACACTCACCGGGGTCTTAGGTTTCACATTTGGTACCTGTAGGTTGAATGAAGGCTCATGGGTATAGCCCAGACTGGCCTTAAATTCGGGGCACACAGACAGACAGACAGACAGACGTGCACGTACATGCACACATTCACACACGTACTTGAAAAGGTCTAAGCACAGAACTTAGGTGATGTGAGATTAGCTGCTAACAGCAGCACTTTGCTGGGGCTGCAGTGAGTCTAGGAAGCCACTGCCTGGGCGTGGTCCTGGCGGGGCAACGGGGAGACCACTCCAGTCTTCCGTGATGGGTGTTGTCCTGCTCTGAAGAAATTTTGCTCTGAAGACTTGAGTGCTTGTGATTTTACAGGAAACCACGTGCATACACTGGACTTGGGTTTTGAGCAATGCTTGCTGTGTCTTTACTATTTCAAACTGGTTTAATACAACATGACAATTCATCTAGTTACAACTCAAAAAGATTTTCTAAAAAGCTGACATATTTCACGTCATACCCCGCATCACTTCTTCTACAACTCATCAATCTTTGTCCTTCTGCCTTGGCCACATCATGTCTAACCCTGTCTTTCATTTGTGATTTATGGCCGAGTTCCTTATTTTGCCAGATTTATAAACTCTGCAGTGCTTTGCAGAATACTCACTTTGTACACCAGTCCATAAGCCAGTAGATTTATTGTCTATGAATTGTTACTTTGAAAAATTACATCAATGCAAAGTGATTACCTTTTAGCCTCCCTAGCCAATAAATTCATTTTATTTTTTTGGAGGGGACATTTGAGGTCACAGGATGATAGATAAAACGGGCAATCCCTCAATGAGGAGAGAGTCGGAAGTTCTCCAGAGCAGAAGGCCAGCAGGATTTCTCTCCATCATCATGGATAGGCTGGCCTTCGGTTGCCTGCTCTTCCTCGGACTCCTGAACCCACTTCTGTCCCTTCCCGTCACTGACATTGGTGCAAAGACTCTTCGGCTTCCAGGTGAGGTGACTGTTTTTTTTTTTATCAGTTCTAGGTGCCACTCAGGAGTAGGAAAGGGATTCTGGCTAAAGGGGGTCTTCTGTAGCTGTGACCATGCTTTGAGGAGAGGATCAGGGGACCCTTCCTGTGTGTCTTCTCTAAACACAGACAAGTAGCATTGCTTATTTCATGTCACAAATGTAGCTCAAGCTTTCATAGTGGTCAGTTTTGTTTATAGAAATTGGACTGAGTTTAGAACATTACCTTCAGTTTTGAGTGGACTGGTTCAGTGTAGGGTGGTTTCTCCAGCTCCAGACTAGTCGGGTACTTATTAGAACATTACCTTCAGGTTTGAGTGGACTGGCTGAGTGTAGGGGTGGTTTCTCCAGTTCCAGACTAGTCGGGTACTTACTCTGTCATGTGAGTTAGAAAGCAGTCATTTGTGTTGTATGAAACAAAGGCTTAATTAAGCACAGTGGCACCTGAAGCTGGGTGCCTCATAGACATCAAGTGTGTTTATGTTTTCCTTTTGTCTTAATGTTCAAATTAAATAAAAAAAACTAGAAATTTTACCACAACCCCTTAATTTGGCATTTAGGATGTGTGTTAGATTCCATAAAAATGTAACTGGATTTAATATTTAGCTTGGCTACTTAAAACAAAATTTCCTTTATGTTTATCCTGTGTGCACGCACACAGTGTGGTGGTCAGAGAAAGACTCGAAGGGGCTGCTTCTCTAGCACGTGGGCAGACTTGGTGGCAAAGGCCTTCCCTGCGGAGCCCGCTTCCCGGCTCCTGCTTCTGGGTGCTTTCAGACACTTCTCCGCAGGCTCTCCTCCACGCCACTGCTGTCACACTTTCTGGTCCGCGCCGCTCTCCTGCCAGTGTTCCTGTTTTTGAGCATCACTCACATTCTGCCAATCAGCTGCTGGCGTCACTGGAGTCACACTGGCACTTAGCCTGTTGGTCAAAACCAGGCAGGAACCAATTCTGTTCTTTCAAAAGGGCCAGTATACACTGCAAAAAGAAACGAGGAATGCTCTGGTCCTGACACCACTTTAGACATCTACAATAAGCTGAAATGAGGACGGCCTCTTACTCAGACCCCACACAGGTTCCCCAGGTTGGCTCCTCACAAATCCCCTTCAGCACAGGCATTCGTACATTATCAAAGGGGAAGGTTTTCATTAGTATTCCCAAGGAATACTGTGAATGCACTCAGATGCCTTTATAACGCTTTGCTCATTGTCTTCCCATTATGGTTACAGATGAGTATTTGTCAGCCTGCAGCATCCAGGGTCATGTGTGGCTTTCCAGCCCGACTCCCAGAGCATCTCAACAGGCTGGTGCCTACCCAAGACACATGTCCCACTGTCAGCCTCCACTGCTCACACACATTTTGCATGCACTTAGCATACACACCCAGTACATTTACCACACACCCTGCATGCACTCAGTGTATATACCCGTTGCATGGAGAACACACCTCATACCTGCTATCACTCTTTACACACATTTGCCACACATGCTGCATGTACTTATACCTCACACCACACACTTACCATACACGGCTTACACATAGCACCCCCCCCAAGTATACTTACCATGCATACCTTACATGCATGCACCACATTTCCCTCCCTTACCATACACACCCCATACACCTTGGGTGTCAGTCTCCTTCACACAGAAGTCACAATGCGGCATTTGAAGCCTCAGGTGAATCCCCACGTGAGGTACAGTAGGGGTGCCACCAAGCTTTCTTCAGTCTCCCACTCACACACCTCAAAAGGAAGGGCCAACAGGTAGCAATGGATAAGGGGAGACAAATCAGACTTTCTGAGCCAAACTGGCATGTGGGGCACTGTCTCCCCCTCCTGCCCAAGGCAGGTGGCCACAACAGCAGGGGGGTAGTCCATGGGCTCCTCACTTTTAGACTCCCGCTGGTTTGTGCAGCACCTTTATTTCTGCTAAATGCCACTGTGACAGATGACCAAGTCCTCCTGTGGAGTTCCAGAATCCACCTCTCTGTCCTGGTACTCACCAGAGACAGGGACCAGAGGCGGCCGGGTGAAGGCCAAGGTGGGCTACTGGTCTGTCTCTACCCCACAGCGCTTGAAGAGGACGCTCACCTGGCCCTGGAGGAGCTGGACAGGATGGCCCTCCTGCAGACGCTGCGACAGGCAATGGCCACAGAGGCAGGCGAAGGCCTGGGGGAAGCAGGTGAAGGTATTCTCGGGCTTATGGGTGGCTGCCATAGCTACTAAAGTTGCCTTCTATGCTACCTATCAGAGAAAGCTCTAGAAGTGGAACTATATGAAACAACATCTCCCAAAGACCCTCTTAGCCTACACCACCTCTGTCCACCCCTCCGGCATCAGGAAGTGCTGCAAGCCCAGGGTCCCCAGGATAGGCGGGACTCCCCAGGACAAGCGGAACTCTTTTTATACCGACTGTTAAAGGCAGGCGATGCTGGCTACCCAGCACCACTGAGGCCAAACGTAAATCTTTATGTCCCACTTACTACCATCTTTACAATGTATTTAATCTGTCTGTGTCTCAGTTTCTTAATCAGTACACAGGAATGGTAAGGACAGTCTATGCCAGGCATGATGCAATCTCAGCACTTAGAGGCTGAGGCAGGATTGTGAGTTTGAGGCAAATCTAGGCTACATATTCTCTCTCTCTCTCTCTCTCTCTCTCTCTCTCTCTCTCTCTCTCTCTCTCCCAAACCAACAACAGCAAAAAAAAACAAAACAAAACAAAAACAAAAACAAAAAACAAAAAGCAAGTAAAATGCTTAGCAGGTCAGATGAGTAGCATCGGACATGGTGACTCCCATAAGTCTGTGGACAGCCTGAGACCCCATCTCAACAAACAATAAACTGATGGAGAAGAGTACAGATTTGACTATTTTCTCCACACACTGATACAGTGCTCAGAACATCTGGGTACAGGGTGGAGAGTCTTTCAGAAGACATGCTGACAGTCCAACTGTATTTTTGACAAACTATGAATGGTTAATGAGAAAAACTGAAAGTGGTTAGACCAGAATCTCTGCCTGCATTCAGGTGCACACTGCCCCAGTGTGGAAGGGACTGGGAACTAGACATCACGTAGGGATGTGCTATTTTTTTCTTCCTTGCATGTGTGGTGTGCATGTGTGTGGGCCCATGTGAGCGTGTGGGGGACAAAGTTGACAGCAGGAGTTTTCCCAGCTCTCCTCACTTTATTTACTGAGGCAGGTCTCTACCTGAGCCTGGACCACCTTAATCGAGCTCTTTTAGAAGCCAGTTTGTTCCAGGGATCCTTCTCTACCTTCTGAGTGAGTGTTAAGGGATCAAGGCGGCCTCCATGCTCACCCTGATTTTATATGGTTTTGGGGATCTGGGTCCTGTGCAGCTATGAGCTGTCTTTCCAGCCTTGGAACCTTAGATTTTGTATGTTTTAAAATCAGCATAACTGCTAGGTGTGGAAGCAAATGCCACAGGTGGATCTCTGTGAGGCCAGCTCAGTCTACACAGTGAGCCCCTGCTTTTACAAAAGAAAAACAAGAAACAGTAGGTCTGATGACATGGTGTCAAACTGTTTTCCAGATCCCAGTGATGACACTCCCACCCCACGGGGAAGCTTGAGAAAGGTAAGGACTCTAGGTTCTGAGGGAGAAAAGCTGAACTTCTCATATTCAATTTTACAGAACCGTTTTTTATGACCTAAGAGTGTTCTTGGTGGAAATCACATCTTAAAGTGATCGGCCAGTCTTCTTCCAAACATAATTTTTCTAAACTGATTCACAGAATATGGATATATAACTGTAACAAGAAAGGCTCCAAAGCTACACAGAGAAACCCTGTCTCAAAAACCAAAACCAAAACCAAAACAAAAGAGAACCTAACAAGCACCTGTTCTGGGTCAATCAGAGACCTGTAAGAGACGAGAGCGGCGGGGCCCTTGCCGTCCGCTGCCCGGCCTCGTGGCCCCAGCAGCACCACCATCACTAGGAAGCTGGTGAGAAACGCAGCGCCTCCACACCACCAGGGCCCACCAGTCAAACGTGCAGTTGGACAGATCTGCAGGGACCCATGCGTAGTCAGCGTGGGGCACCACAGGAAGGGAATGCAAGGATGATGGGCCCCGCCCCAGGATGAAAAGAGGTACAAAGGCTGGGCATGGAGTGACAGGACACACACAAATGGTGTGAAGTGAGTGGGGACCACTGTATGCTTTCTGAGGGGGCTCCCTTGGCCGTGCCTTCTGCCGTGACAGTCAGTGTTCATGACTATATAGGGGTCTCCCAAGAAATCATGAGATCAACATTCATGGACCTGGACCAGAGACACCTCTGTTCTTGTAACAGCCACCAGCATTCTGGCAGCAACCACCCTGACGTGAGATCCCAGAGACAGTGAGCACCACCTAAAGCCCTCAGGGGACTAGGAGGGCTTCTGTGTGCAGCTATCAAAAAGTCATCACTCGGATGATTACATGCTTCTACACGGAAGGCAGTCTAGTTAGGACTACTATTGTGGGATGAAACACCGTGATCAAAGCAACTTGGGGAGAAAAGGGTTTATTTGGCTTACACTTCCACAGCACTGTTCATCACTGAAGGAAGTCAGGATGATATTGTGTTCTCCAATATATTGTGCACCCTAATAAACTTATCTGGGGTCAGAGAACAGAACAGCCACTAGATACAGAGGCCAGAAAATGGTGGCACACACGCCTTTAATCCTAGTATTCCAGAGGCAGAGATCTACCAGGATCTCTGTGAGTTCAAAGCCACACTGGAAACAGCCAGGCATGGTGACTCACGCCTTTAACCCCAGGAAGTGATGGCAGGAGGCAGAAAGGTATATAAGACGTGAGGACCAGGAACTAGAGCCTGTTAAGCTTTTAGGTTTTTGAGCAGCAGTTCAGCTGAGATCCATTTGGATGAGGACTCAAGAGGCTTCCAGTTTGAGGAAATGAGATCAGCTGAGGAATTGGCGAGGCGAGGTGGCTGTGGCTTATTCTGTTTCTCTGATCTTTCAGCGTTCACCTCAATACCTGGCTCCAGGTTTGTTTTCATTAGCAAGACCTTTTAAGATTAGTGTCATCAGGACACTAATGTCATGTCATCAGGACATGAACCTGGAGGCAGGAGCTGATGCAGAAACCATGGAGGGCACGGTGCTGCTTACTGGCTTGCTCCTCATGGTTTGCTCAGCCTGCTTTCTTATAGAACCCAGGACCAGCAGCCCAGGGATGGGCCACCATGGGTTGGGCCCTCCTCCATCAATCACTAATTAAGAAAATGCCTCATAGGCTTCTCTACAGCTAGATCTTATGAAGGCATTTTCTCAATTGAGGATCCTAGCGGATGCCTCTAGCTTGTGTCAAGTTGACATAAAACTATCCAGTACAAGGATTATCCCTAAGGCCAAAAACCATGTATGTAGGGTGTTCCCACTTTATTCTAGAATAAAAAGAAAACTGTGACTCAACCTTTAAAACAAGCCAATTTTAACAGAAAAGATCAAGCACACAGAAGGCTAAGTGTTCAGAACCTATCACTGACAGAAGGCCCGCACAGAATGGTCACAGAGAGGACAGGGAACTCAAGGAATCACAGGGTTAAGCAGACTGGATGAGAGCTGGAGAGAGCTCTGAGGGGCCCCACTGAGGATTCTGAATTCAGGGTTGCTTATCTATTTTTCTGGACCTCTGGTTTCAGGCTTTCTCTGGACAAGACTCTAACACTGTACTGAGTCGTCTTTTGGCAAGAACCAGGAAACAACATAAGCAACAGAGGCCTGTCTCGGAATGCTTCTGGAAATACTGCATTTGAAGAGTTCCGAGCATCCTCGTCTCCTCAGAACCACCTCTTTAGAAAACTAAAAAGGAAGATGCCTGAAGAAAAATCAGGCTATACACCCCATTCTTCATTATTATGAGAAATAAATCCTCTATGTTTCGCAAGTATCACACGTGGTCACGTTTACTTATATGTACATCCTGAAAATCTGTAACTTGTCTCCCCACTCCCATTTAGCATTTCCTGGAAACGTACAAGTTGGGCTGGAAGAGTAGGTCAGTGGCAGGGCTTGCCTAACTATGTGAGCTCTCTGTTCCATTTTGGGCAATGCAAAAATGTCTAAGTAAAGCAGTAAGTGAACAGAAGCACACAGTACAGAGTAAGAAGGAAAAGGCACAAAGACTTTATCCAAAAGTCTCTAAGTCACAAATGACTTAAGAATAAATTTCTTTGTTATAACATCTCAACCCTTAAAAATGAATATATTGTAGGGACCCACAGAGGTTTCCTAGTGAGAACTTACCCAGGATCCAAGAATCTGAGCTTGCTTTACCCAGCAGGGCTGCATAAGGGGATGATTTGACC